GATGTGCTCACCAACCTGGAAGCTCTCCAAACACCTTAGGTTAGGGATTTTTATGGAGGCTTCATCATGTAGGCAAGATTAATTATTCATTCAGTCTTCCAGCCCCTCTCCCTTTCTCTGCAGATGGAGGGTGGGGTTGAAGTTCCAAGCTTTTAATCATGGTGACCAGGTCCCATCCAGAAGCTACCCAGAAGTCCACCCAGAGTCATCTCATTAGAATGAAAGATGCTCCTCTCACCCAAGGTATCTAGATTCCAAGGGATCTAGGAATGATGATCCTATCATCCCCATTCCTCAGGAAATCGCAAAGATTTCAGAAGTACTATGTCAGGAATTGAGGGTCAAAGACTAAATATTAGAACAAAAGATGCCCCTAAAACCTCTACTCTAAGGAAATTACATATAAGGATTTTAGAAGCTCTGTATGAGGAACTAGGAAAAAAGACTAAATATATATTTCTTATTACATCACAGGTAGATACACGATATTATACACTTGGCAAAACCCTGAGGACTATACAGTACAATACAACCTAAAGTAAGGTTTGTTAATAGTAATGTATCAATATTGGTTCTCCAACTGTCACAAATGTATCACACTAAGGCAAGATGTTAATAACAGGAGAAACTGAGTAAGGGAGAAGAGGGTATATAGAAACTTTCTATACCACCTGCTCAATTATCTGTAAAACTAAAATTGCTCTAACAAAACAAAGTCCGTTAATTATGAAAGGTTTTTTAATCAATTTTTGTTAAAGAAAGAGAAATTTTAAAAGTCAATCAGGTTGGTTGTCAAACTGGTCAATGAAAAGGTTAATGCAACATTTAATGAGAGGGATTTAGGTACAGAAAGAATCTAGTTAAGTCATTGTTTAATAATCCAAGTTTGATCAGAACTGTCTGCCTTGAGCCCATATCAGAAGAAGCTTCGGTCTCCATACAGTAAGAAAGTCTACACTAATATAAACCATAGGCAGATATAGATATGAAAGATAAGGCTATGTACTTCTAAAACCAGTGACTCCCTCGGGTCTTGTTTTATTTTTACAAAACTTATTCTATCTGAATTTTGAAATTCCATCAAGGCTTTGCCCAAATAGAAAAAGAAGACTAGGATGCCCATAGAGAAATAAAGGGAGAAATAATTATGTCAATATAAGCTGTGATAGCCAGAGTAGTTGCAGAGGAGACAGGCTGCTCTATATATTTTTTTACACCTTGTGTGCTTTTCCTTACATACTTCTGTGCAAGTTACTTCCTTGTATCATACCAGTTTTCAAATAGTGCTCAGAACCTTTCAATATGACCTTTCTCCATGACCAGCATGAAGAGACCAGGGAGCCTAAAAGGCATTCCCAAAACCAACTTTTTTTTTTAATTCTTTTTTTTAAAATATTTTTTTATTTATTTCTAGGAAAGAGAGAGAGAGACAGTGTGAGCAGGGGAGGGTCAGAGATAGACGAGATACAGACTCTGAAATAGGCTCCAGGCTCTGAGCTGTCAGCACAGAGGCCAACGCGGGGCTCAAACCCACAAACCGCGAGATCATGATCTAAGCGAAAGTCGGATGCTTAACCGACTAAGCCACCCAGGCGCCCCCCAAAACCAACTTTTGTGCCTAGAATTCTTATTTTAAATTTTGTAGAATTAATATTCATACGTTATTGATAAGTAACTTAAATATAGGGGTGCCTGGGTGGCTCAGTTGTTTAAGTGTCCAATGTTGACTCAGGTCATGGTCTCACCATTCATGAGTTCAAGCACACCGTTCTGTGCTGACAGTTCAGAGCCTGCAGCCTGCTTCAGATTCTGTGTCTCCCTCTCTGTCTCTCCCCTGCTCATGCTCTCTCTCTCTCTTTCTCAAAAATAAACATTACAAAAATTTTTAAAGAAACTTAAATGTAAAATCCTGTTTTAATTCTTAGATGGGTTATAGTGAGGGTCTTAGGTTTCATTCAGTCTCCTCTTTCTGTGGAATACATACTCAGAGAAAACACAGGCTCTATCAAATGCCAGTTCTCAAGTCTTATCATATTGAATCCACAACCCTTTTCATAAAAATATACAATCTTTATATGATCTAAATGCCTTACAGGCATCTTATTCTGCAAGGTAAGGAATGAGCATGTCCTGTAGCAGCTGACTCTGTAATCATACCTCTGGAGTCTGGCCTTCTCATCTGCAAAAGCCAGAACCTGGGCTCTACTATTTTAATAAATGTCTTTAAATTATTACAAAAGTACCATATAATCGTCATTGAGGAAAATTTAGCAGAAGGAGAAGCAGGAGGAGGAGTGGGAGGAGTTGGAAGAAGAAGGGGAAAGGAAGGAAGGGAAGAAGGAGAAAAAAAAGAAAGATCACTTATAATCTCCCCACTCTGCGGTAAGGGTAACGGTAAGGGTAAATGTAAGCATTTTAGGTTTTATCATTGTGGATGACTTGTAATATCCTACATACTCTTGTAACTTAGCCTTTTTCTACCGACATCTTTCTATGGGAAGCAGTGGAACTAAAGACAGAAGGTAGCAGACACTTGTAGCTAGTGAACTCAGGAACTAGACTGCCTGGTTCATATCCTGGCTCAGCCTTTCCTTAGCTGTGTGACTCTGAGCAAACCACTTCTCCTCTCTGTTACCTCAGTTTCCCATCTATAAAATGGAGATCAGTATAGCAACTATTTCTTCAGAGAGTCCATTATGAGGATACAATGGCTTAATATAGCTAAGCCACTTATAATAGTGTCTAGCACAAAAGTATACTCTTTATCAAGGAACAATAGTAAGCCTTTTCAATAAAGAACTAGTAAGTAACTATTTTAGGCTTTGCAGGGTCATATGGTTTCTGTTGCAACTCCTCGATGCTGCCTTTGTAGCACAAAAGGAGCCATAAATGAATGAGGATGGCTGGCTTCCAGTTAAACTCTATGGACACTGACTTTGAATTCCACATAATTTTCACACATCATGATGTGTTATTCTTTTAATTTCGCTTTCACTGTTAAACATGTAAAAGTCATTCTAGCTCATAGGCTGTCCACAACTGGACAGTGGGCTGGGCATTTAGACTACAGTTTGCCAACCTCTGTTCTATATAATTAGTTGACATTATTATATTTCCAACATTTCTAAAATATTTTTTAAAGTAGGCTCTATACCCAACATGGGGCTCGAACTTATGATCAAGAATCCCAAAATCAAGAATCTCAGGCTCTACTGACTGAGCCAGCCAATCACCCCTCTACAAATTATTATTATTATTATTATTTTGGCTGCTGAGAACAAGATGGTTTGGATGTTCTATAATTAGTTCTGTATGATTCTAACTTAGGGTTATTCCCAGGGTACTTTATTATAAGCCATCCTCCAATGAACATCCATGCAGAATCTTTATGCACAATTATTATTATATCTACACCTTAAAATGTATTTAGTTGTAGCTACCAAATGGCTGGCAGAGTATCTAGAAAGAAACAGACTCTGAGGAAATAGCCTTGAAAATTAATCTTGTATCTTTATAACAAATTTCAGGCATGTTAGAGGAGCTTTATCAGTATAATGTATATTCATATACGAAGAACTCACTGTGTACCACAGACCATTCTGAGCCTCCTGCCTATGTTAAATCATTTAGTCCTCAAAACACTCCAATTAGGTATAGGTGCAATCGTCACTGTCATCATCATCATCATCATCATCATCATCATCATCACCATCCCCATGGTGCAAAAAAGGAAACTGAAGCACAGAAAAGCTAAGTAACCTTCCAAGATCACACAGCTAGACGGTGGTAGAGGCAGGTTTCAAATCCAGCCTGTCCAGCACTAGGCTCTTGTTCAGAGTTACCCTGACTCTTCAGAGATTTGGTGAGTGTAAACTTCCAGGTACTTACCTTATAATGGACCTGTGTTCTTTTTCATATTTAGATCATGTCTGTCATACATGAACGACGTCATACTGTAATAATCGGCACAAATTCTATCCCACCATGGGGCACTTGGGTGGACACTGAAGGTCCGTCTAACCGGACTCTTTTGTCTTCCAACCCCTCCCCCACGCCAACTCTTTATTAATTTGCCCTGCATTTCTTACCCCAAAATGGTTGTCCTCTATGAACAGTAAAAATTGATTGGAGCACACTTTCATATCTTGCTGTCCAGTTTATAGTCCCAAATCTACCAAATTCACTTGGCCAGCTGAGCGGAGCTCTGCTTTGAGCGGAGGGCCCTGCACCGCCATGGGAATGCACATTTCGAGTAAGTACCCTCTTTCTTTGAAACCAAACGTGGCTTGTGTCAAAAGTCTCTCCCGCGTGGTCCCCGCAGCAACGAGGCTAGCTTGCTCCGACCCGGGTCCTGGAGGGCGGCGTCCTGCGTGCGTGTGAGCCAACCCGCCAGCCTCCGCCGCGCGGCTCAGACGCGGAGCTGCGCGCTCTCCCGGCCCTTCCTGCTGGTGCTGAGATGCGAGTGTCCCAGAAAAGGAGTTATGCGAGTGGGTCATTCAACTTGGAGGGGAACGAGAGTCTAGTTCTCAGTTTCATCCTGATTTCTCTCCCTGCTGGGGTCCTACTGCTTGAGTTCACGAGTTATCCCCAAGGAGATGAGCCACCAACGCCGCTGGTCCCAAGATGTTGCCCGCCCCCCACTGATGCCCAAACAAGGACAGACCGAGAAGTCGAGAGGAAACGGGGAAAGACCTAAGCGGGTGTTTCAAACAGAGCACGGCTGTGCAGACGCGGCGGTGGCACTGGAACAGCCCAACCCGGAGTCCGGCCGAGGCCCCGGGCTCCGCCCGCCGGGGGGCGCCGGGGCGGCGGGCGCGTGCGCGGTGCGGCCCCAGCCCGGGCAGCCACCGTCGCGATGCCTATTTTAGTCAAAGCCGCTGCCGGCGCGGGGACCCGGCACTGGCCAAGGAGGTTCCGGACCCGCGATCCGCCGAGGCTACCGCCTCGGGCTCCCGTCGAGCCGCCGCGTCGCTGTCCCCCGCGCCCTGCCGCTGTCGCCCCAAACTTTGGCCAGCGCAGCCCAGGTTCGGTGCCAGGGACGAGCCAGGTAAGGAGCGGGAGGCGTCGCTGCCGTCGGCTCCCCCCACCCGCGCGCCAGGATATTTGCAGCCTAGAGCTCCCGGGGCTAAATCGGGAAGCGAAAGTTGGATCCCTGCTCCACCGGGAGCAACTTTGTCAGCCTCCGCGGCGGCTCTGGTTCTCCAGCCGGGCCACCAGGAACCCCGCCCTCTCCTCCCCTGGCCGGGCCCTCGCGGGGTTCCCTGGTCTCTGAAACCGCCCTTCTCCCCCGTCTGGGGTCCACGGCCACAGCCCCTCAGGTGTCGCCTGCCGCAGCACGGGTCTGGCAGCACCCGCATCCCCTGGCGCACGAGCCCCCTCCGGTGCCGGTTCCCGCGCTCTGCCCTGAGCAAGCCCTTGGTGAGCTCGGCGTCTCCTCTCCCCGCTGCACTCGCGGGGTTCCGGGCCCCTAACCCACTACCACTCGTCCTCGCCCGCAGTAGGACCGCCAGCTCTCACGCTGAGGCTGCGAGCAGCCGGGCGCACCGTGTGGCCTGCCCTGGCCCCGAGCGGGCTGTGCCAGGCGGGGCGCGGCGCTCACCCAACACCCGCGTGGCCCCAGAGTTCGGGTCAAGGAGAACAGTAGACACTGAGTAGACGCTGAGCGAGGTGAGCGGGTTCCCTGGGGAGAACCGATGGCTGGGGAACCCGTGAACCTCGCGACCCACCAGCGCCCTCGTTTCTGAGGCTTTGGGGAACGTGATGTTGGCCAGACACGTCCCAGAAACGGCTTGTCTTAACACAAGAGTATGTGCGAAAAGTCCCTTGGCAACGTAATCCTCTTTGCCATTCTGAAAATGTGCAAAGGTTCGGTTCGATTTACAGAATGAATTAAGCCTGCCAGCACGACTTTTGTTCAATGCTGCTATCTTTTCCATTTTTGTAGTTTGGTGAAGGGTTAATGTTAGTTTCACCATTTAGCCATTTAATACTGCAGACTCGTAGCTATTGAAAATCGATAGAAGAACAGGACTTTACCAGAGCACGTAATTAAAGGAATTAGATTCTGAAGAACTAATAGGAGAAAGAAGACTTCTCTTGACCCAGTCAAAATTAACCTGAACGTTTACCAATTTACCAGTCTAGCCTTCCTCCTTAGACACATTGTATAAGTCTACTTCAGTGTAAACGATTTAAGTCCATTAAAAGTGATCAAAAGAAGCTGAAACCAGTAAACTCTAATCAATATTATTGACAACAGGTAACTGGCATTTCAAAATTGATGTGGAGATAAATATACAAGTAAATAATAAATTATATAATAAATGTATTATACAATATTAGTTATTCTATAAGGTATAAGACATACAGAAAATAAAAAATATATATACATATTTTTAAATAAGGTGTTGGGCATCAAAATATTTTGTAGGATGATCCCGCCTTTTAAAAATTCCTATTGCTATTTTCCTAGTTCTTGCAGCAGTGGATCATAGTTTTTCTATCATTTCTCTTGGAGCAGAAGTTGGTACTTTTAGTGCCACTTGAAGAACTTTTACAAACATGAAATTGAGCTAAAGTGGATTAGTTGGCAATACAGGTATAATTGGTTGGATATGAGAGGGAATGTGTCTTAACTAACTTCTTATATAAATGTGTTAGAGCCTCAGGCTATTAAAACTTGAAAGGGCTTCAAAGACCATCTAGTTCATCCACCTCTGTTCCTAGGAAGAAGCAGACCCAAGAAACAGAAGTGACTTTCCCTGACTTATGTGGCTCCCCAGGGCTTTTGGTATAGAGCCTGATTCTCTTATTCCCAGGAAGGCTGGACACTTTCCTGTCTTTACTCTAAAGTTTGGGGAGACTAAAAATGATTTCTAAAAGTGTTTGTCATGTTTGTGTCCCTTCTGTATGGCTTTTAGCCCTGGCATTCTCTACAGAGTCTAGGCCTTGGGTATACATAGATGAATATGACAACACCCCTGCCTGATAGAGAACACAGGGTAGTTAGAAAAGGAAATAGGAGAATGGAAGTGGAAGCCATAGAAATGTAGTTATTAGGGGCGCCTGGGTGGCTTAGTTGGTTGAGCGTCCAACTTCTACTCAGGTCATGAGTTTGTGGTCTGTGGGTTCAAGCCCTGCGGCATCCGGCTCTGTGCTGACAGCTCAGAGCCTGGAACCTGCTTCAGATTTTGTTTCCCTCTCTCTCTGCCCCTCCCCTACTTGTGTTCTGTCTCTCTTGTTCTCTCAAAAATTAATAAATGTTTAAAAAAATGTAGTTATTAGTTTAGGTAATGCTAATGCATAAGCAGATATTGACCTAGCTTTTGAGTGATAGAGGACCTTTAATATCATTCTCTATCCTGCAGAAATTATAAGATTAATTCTGATTTGGTCCTTTAAAGCAAGCTTTATATAAATGGAGTTATTCAAATAATTATACCTTTCACTCCAATAGGCTTACATTTTTATTGATTCAAACATTTGGAAAGTAGTTGAATATTTGTAGTTTCTTTCCTTTTTGCAGAAAATCAACATTTAAGTCAACTATTTCTCTTATGTTTTTGAACCATTTCAGAATTACATGAAGAGATCTTTAACTGACTTGATCATTTCATTCATAGTTTGTAATGCATGTCTGTTTTTATTTTTATCATCTTAACAGATGTAGAATTCCTTCAGATTTGTCTAGTAGCATCCTTTCAGAATGCCCAACCTGTACCAATTAATTATTCTACCACCTAAAACCTGTACTTTGGTATGATGAAAAAAATGAATGGAAATATATAGTTAAATTGTGTGACCTTATTTTGGAGAGAAATACTTATCAGATTAAATTTAAAGATACTTTTGGTACCCATTTGGAATTCTTTTTCTGAAGCAGGATAACTCATATAAATCTATAAATCGACATGGTTTTTTATCAGGGACCAGTTTGTATAACTAATAATAGAAAAAGTTTTTTAAGTGCCAGAGAAGGAAGACAGATAATTTAGTCAGGAAATAATGCCATTTTTTTAAGGTTTATGTAAGCATGTGTAATATGTATACTTTTTGAAATGTATTTATTATAGATATTTATTGTTATTAAATAGTTGAAAGAATATTCATTACTTCTCTTACATAAAAGTAGACCAAAAGTTTGCTACATTTTAATTTGTGATATGGTATCTAGTCGAGTTTTTATGGGAAAGAAAGTAGAGACTTAAATTGGACAATGAAAGAAGGAGTAAATATTGGACAATGAAAGAAGGACTAAATACATATCTGTGTATGTATAAGTGATAAGTAATGTATTATGTGCACATAGGATAATATAGATTCTATGTATGTATGATACAATGATTTAATGACAGTATAAAAGTAGAGCCTTCTCAATATCCTAAGCCTTCAAATAGTAGATATGAGAGTATTAATTTTTTGGAAACCATTTTAAAAAATCAGTTTTTCCATTTACTTTTTCTGTGTTTGGAATCAGTGTCATAGTGGGAATGTGATAGAAAACCTTGCTATGGCTTATGAATTATTGGTGATTGCCTTTTAGACTAATTAATTCCTCATTCCTTTCTCCCCCACTGTGTATGTCTATGTACAGATATACATGTCAGTGAATAGTTATGAACTATGCTAAATATTTTATGTATTTCATTTCATCTTATTAGAAAGTCAAATGAAGTATTACTCTCATCGTTTAACAGATAAAGAAATGGATACACTTAATATGTGACTGGTGGGGTTCAAACCTGGCTGTAATTCATAAGCACAAGAAAAATCTATTTACCAATATTTAGTTCACAGAAATAATTTTGATATAATACCTATAGGGGTAGTAAGATATAGCTGCCATTTTTATGATTGTCCTTTTGTTTCTTTTACAGGGTTTTCAAGATGAATTATACTGAGTCAAGCCCATTGACAGAATCAACTGCATTAGGTTTTACACCTGAGTTAGAAAGTACCATACCCGTGCCTTCCAATGAGACCATATGTGAAAACTGGAGAGAGATACATCATCTAGTTTTTCATGTAGCGAATATTTTTTTCACAATTGGGTTGGTTATTCCAACTAGTCTTCACCTTCATATGATACTTCTTCGGGGGATGTTAACTATAGGTAAGAAACCTAATTGAGATGTACGTAAGTTCTCTGTAACTGGCATCAGATGGGCTCAGGATTGGGGGCTTCAGAGTATTCCTGGTCAGGCCTATAGAATACCATAAATAGAAAGCTTTGTCAGCAAATAAGCAGTACGTAGATCAAGTAACTTATAAGGTAGGCCTTCACATGCCATATTTTTCCGTATTTATTTTAAATAAGACCATGTATGTTTTCTATGTTGTTAGATTTTCCAGACATAAAAATATCCATTTGTATATAGGATAGTGGACTTTGGAGTATATTGTGTAGTTCAAATCCTGGTCCTACCACTTGCTAACTGTGTAACTAGGGCAAGTGATTAAACCTTTCTATTCCGCAGTTTTCCCATGTGTCAAATAAGGGTAAAAATAATACTACCTCCTAGAGTTGTTGGAAGGATTGAATGAGTGTGTGTGTGTGTGTGTGTGTGTGTGTGTGTGTGTATAAGAGTGTGAGCGTGTGATATTTGACTTATAATAGGCCTGGCACATAATAAATACTATCCAGTCTTAAGCACTATTAAATAGGCATTTACTTAATGATCTGTAATGAAACACTGGAAACAAAAGTAGTTTCCTAAACACAGTACTTCAAATAAAACATTTTTGGGCATCTCCAATAATCCTGATGAAGCAGATTAAATTGATTCACATCAAATAGCAGAGCAATTAAATTTATTATTTTAGCCAGTGATTCTTGACAAATTACTCTCTATGTGATTGTTTCCTTGATAATTCCTTTATTCAGGTGCATTTTTGAGCACCTATAATGTGTCAAGCAAAGACTGAAGAAGGCAGTGACCATTTTTGGAAAAGATACTTTTGGGGGGCTAGGGAGACACAGACGGACAGTCACGTGGGAGGTGTTGGAGGCTGTGATGCACGTATGCACCCAGTGCCAGGGAGAAATGGAGAGGGTGACAGGCTCAGCAGGAAGGTGGAGCAAGGTCACACTGAGGAGATGACATTGGAGCTGGCTTTTGGAAGATGAACAGGATTTCTCTGAGTGTGAGTACGTGTGGTATCCAAGAAAAGGCACAGAAGAGAGAGAAATTCATCATATCTAGGGAGAGTGAAGAGTAGCTCATTATGCCTGAAATACATGAAAAATTACAAGGAATAGTCAAAATAAATCCTAGAAGCAAAAGACATGCTTCCAGTTGTGGAATGAATAAGTTATGGGAATAAAAGGCACAGCATAGGGAATATAGTCAGTGGTATTGTAACAGTGCTGTATGGTGACAGATGCCGGCTACACTTGTAGTGAGCACAGCATAATATATGTAAGTGTGAACATGTAGAATCACTATGTTGTACACCTGAAACTAATGTAACAGTACATGTCAGTTACACTCAAAATAAGTAGGTAGGTAGGTAGGTAGGTAGACAGTGGATAGATATATAAAATAAGAAGCGTCTGGAAGGGAAGCTAGCAAGTGGCTGGTGAGGTTTCTGTGGCTGTAACCTCTGAGTAAGGTAGGGATTGCAGTAGACACTGAGAGTGTTGAATGAAAAACAAAACCAAACCACATCTTATAAAAAAGCAAAAGCTAATTTTAAATTTTAAGACACAGTTTTAGAGGTGGGAAGGGCCAAGGAGATCATCTTGTCTGACACTTTATAAATGAAGAGACCTGGAGAAGTTAACTGACTCATCCAAAATTAAGATGGAGAGAATGTGGCTAATCCAGGACTGTAATTCAGATCCTCATGTTCCCAGTCAGCTGAAGCATCATGCTTCCCTGTCTTCTTTAAATAATAATATTTTAAGATTCAAAAACATTTGCTATGAAATATTTTTTAAAGAACTTATAAAGTTTTACATTTTGGTCAATTCAGATGCCCAAAATCATTCTGATAAAATAAAAATTGCAAATGAGTAACTTTTTAATGTGGGAGTTTAGCTTTCATATGCATATTTGTTGTTGATATATTTGTATCATATTGATCATTTCATTTCTAATGAAAACTATATATTCACTCTCCCACCATTCATTAATCAAAATAAAATGGGGTATTTTTCCTAAATTAAGATAATTGATAAGAAAAAGCAAGAAGATTTCCACAGGTGAATGGAAAATCATCAGGTGAAGATTGAGATGGTTAAGTGTTTTATAAAATATTCAGACTCACCAGTAATCATGAAAATGCAAAATCAACTAAAACACATAATTCCTCACTATCAAGTGAAAAGACTTCAAATTTTGTAATATTGACAACTTAATGGTAGCATTCCCAACTAGTAGGATTGCAAATGTCTATATTACCTTTGGAAAACAATTCTTTAGTCTCATCAACACTATGAAGTTCATTTCCTTGACTTACTGTTAGGTAATCCACCCTAAGAAAATAGTAAAAAACAAAACAAAAAAACACATCAATTTTTAATGTATAAGTATGTTTTGATGATGTATCAATAATTACACCTCAGAAATCTCATCTATTTACCAGTTGGAAAATGGTTAGATAAATTAGGGTTTAGTCAGTTGTAAGTTGTAGTCTTTAAAAACTATGTATACGAAGAGTTTTGACACAGTAGGGAAATTACCACAGTAAGCAAAATACGTTAAAGACTGGGTTTTAAAATGTTATAGATGGTAAGTTTGCCATCAGGTAAAAAATGCATTAAAACTGTAAAGAAGTATAAAGTATTGACAGTGGTTTTTCTTAAGTAGTAGAATTATGGGGGTTTTCCCCTTTAATATTTTCTATATAAATTTTCCACAATGGAGCACATTTGCCTTTTGTGGTAATAAGACAAAGAACAAAATGGAACCTAATGTGATGTTTGGCTTAGGTATTTGTAAAATGTGCTTGACTATTTTTATATACAGAGAATAAAAAATTTATTAAGCTACATATGATGCTATTCCAGTCATCTAACATGTTAACTTTGTTATTCAACAGGATGTACCCTTTATATTGTCTGGGCCACTCTCTACCGATGTGCCTTGGATATCATGATCTGGAACTCGGTGTTCCTGGGTGTCAACATTTTGCATCTGTCATATCTTTTGTACAAGAAAAGACCGGTAATGACTAAAATTAATTAATTAGGAAGAGATTTTATTTTATTTTTAAAGTTTATTTTGTTATTTTGAGAGAGAGTGCACATATGTGGTGGGGGCAGGGGGGCTGGAGAGGAAGAGAGAGAATCCCAAGCAGGCTCTGTGCTGACAGATGGGCTCAGTCTCTCAAACCTTGATCTGATAAACCATGAGATCATGACCTGAGCCGAAACCCAGGGCCAAATGCTTAACCAACTGAGCCACCCAGGCACCCCTTAAGGAAGTGATTTCAAAGCCAAAAAGCTTTTAAAGTGCTTTGTTCATACTTAAGAATGAACATCTAACATCTTTGGTCCCTTTAATATCATTTCTCTGATTTTGTTTATATATAAAGTGAAATATTTGAATACTATGAAATTTGTTCTACATAGGAGTTTCTTAAACTCTTTAAATCATTAAGGCAACTTGGACATAAGAGAACATGTCAATATTCTCTGTCTTTTTAGTCATGTAACTTCATTATTTCTTTTGTCTATTGACACTTGATGTCACTCGGAAATATCTTTGCCTACTTGTAAAATCAATTACAGGTTACTGCCTTGAACATACTAATGATTTACAAATAGTTCATGCTATTTTTTATTTTTATTTTTTTGAGTATATATATTTACTTTGAGAGAGAGGGAGAGTAAGAGAATTCCAGGTAGGCTCCACACTGTCAGCACAGAGCCTAATGTGGAGCTCGAACTCACAGAACTGTGAGATCATGACCCGAGAAGAAATCAGAAGTCAGATGCTTAACTGATTGAACCACCCAGGCACCCCTCATGCTATTTTTTAAACGTAGTGACTTTATTTTTTTCCTTATGCCCAAAATACTCATTTAAGGAGATCGCCATTTGGTGAGGATATTGCCAAAACACTAGTATTTAACTCTAGTATTTAACTTTTTTTCCCTAGTTCTGATTTATTTTGTGTTTCCTTGGTCATTCTAAGACAAAAAGACGTAAATAGGATTAAGAAAACAGCATAGCTACTGGAAATCACTCCATAGGTGTTTACTAACTGTTCAAATTCCACATGATTATCTAGTAAGGTAAAAGACAACACTTGTACATGTTCAAAGCCAGACATGTACACATAAAACTATTAGAAAACAACATATTTCACAGGAAATTATTATTTGAATGATATAGATGATATGTAATAGGCATTCTATTACACTGTAACCTCATCGTTACTGTAACCCAGGCTGTTTTGCTGAGTGTATTAAGTTTCTCTAAGTTATCCTGTGTAATAAACAATCAGAAAATCTCAGTGACAAGTAACAGTGACAGGTGTTTTTTTTTTTTTTTTTCCTCACCCACCTTATACATGGACTCTGGCAGTTGTGTGTCAGTGGTGATTCTGCTCTATGGCTTCATTTCAGGGTCTCTGCACCAGGTTCTGTTTAGATATACATTTTCATGGCGGAGAACAAATGAGAAACACCCGGTGTCTCTTAAAATTTCTCAGAAGGAGCAGATGTCACTATGCTCACATTTCATTGGCTAAAGCAAGTGACATTGCCAAGTGTGATAATGTGAGAATAGGGTGGGATAAAGGGATGGATAATCTTTTTATGGGGGGATAGGAGCACCACATAGTTGGGAACAAAAACATCATCTACCGCCTAACTGTTGTATTCCATGTTCCTGTCAACCATGATTGTCACATAACAAGTGCTCAGAAAAACACTTGATGAGTGAATGCTTTCAAAAGAATTAAGAAGGCTTCATGAAGGAATTGGGACTTGAGATAAGACTTGCAGAATGATCAGATGATGATTATGAGTCAATAGATTTGTTTAGTTCCTATGTTCATTACTATGCCACATTGGCTAGTATGTGTCCTGAAAGTGGGACATATCTGTGACTAAATTATTTTAAACACTCATTACCAGAACTCTGAAGTGGAGGGTAAAAGTTCTGAATATCAGAACTTGTTGGAAACCCAAGTTCTGAACATAAGGTTCAGAAGTTGCTGGTGTGATGGGTAGTAGCGTCAAGTAAAACATTCACACAGTATCTGTGCTTTTGTTTCTTCTCAGATTATAAACTTACTTTTTTTGAAAAATATAAATGCTGTTTCTTTGTTGAAATGGAACATGGCAAGAGCTTCGCAAAGGCTATAGTGACATCTGAGTGGCTCTCATCATCTGGGTCTATAAGCTCCATGTTGTGTTTGCCATAGATTTTTTTTGGATGGATGATCATTTAAACCCCAGAGTACATTCAAATGCTTTACAGTTTTCCTAGACTAATGCTGGGCCCAAATATGGAATGTGATCTGGATCTTGACTGAAAGCAGAGGTGATTGAGCCATTTTGCTCTTCCCTTCATCTGCTAGCCAGACTTAATTGGTGGGTTCTCCATTCTACAAAGTATTTTAGCTTTGGATGAAATTACTATACTGAAACCCGTTTACTCTCTTCACTTTGCTTCAGAATAAATAAATTAGAAGCAATGAATGCAGCCGTGAATGTTTGTTCTCTTATTCCGATGCATTAAATAATACTTACATATAGATAAAATGCTTAATGTATGTATTTTCATAATTTTTTTTCTCTGTTCGTTCCTATGTTATGTGTTTCTTTTTTTGCTCTTCTATTTAAAAGTTCATGTAATTTCTTTCTGTGAAACAAAACTGTTATAATGACAAAAAGATTCTGTGTTATTTATAGAGAGTGCTAAGATTGGGAAGGTGCGTGTTGTGATAACATTCAAAACCTCCCCAGCCGCTTTACAGCTCCTGGGAAGAGATGTGATCAATAGTGCAAATCTTTCCCATATGCTCTTGGAGTTGTTTAACTGCAAAAGTGCCCTTTTAGCATCTAAACTTATGTCACCACTTGGTCTCTGTGTAAGATTCTATATACTGAAATACAGGGCCATGGTATGTGTTGAAGACGTGTTTACTCTCAAAACTGTATTGAGACCACAGAGCCAATGTTTCAGTGTTGCTGGGTGATTACAGCATGTGGTCATTGCTGCATTTCAGGTAAAGATTGAAAAGGAGCTCAGTGGCATCTACCGCCGATTGTTCGAACCACTCCGTGTGCCTCCAGATTTGTTCAGAAGATTAACTGGCCAGTTTTGTATGATCCAAACATTAAAAAAGGGCCAGGCTTATGCTGCAGAGGATAAAACCTCAGTTGACGACCGTCTAAGTATTCTCTTGAAGGGGAAGTAAGTGCTCTATGGAAATTGAAATTCCCAGTTTGCCCTGAATCTTTTCATGTCCCCTGAGAAGGAAGTGACTAGAAAGGAATGATACCAGCTAATGGCGGAAACGGTCACAGAGTTTGCTAGTGGTGAAATTCCATTTTACAACTGCATGTTAGAATGCTACAGAGCAACATGTTAGAGTTACATAGAATTGACTACCCTGATTCTTGTTGATGTTAGGATTTTCACTTGTGACTATTTTGAACGCTGATTGACCCATTTTTAAAGTTAATGAATCAAAATTAAAGTAGGTGTAAGTTGGGCATTAAACTTCCAAAAGCCTGTGCATGTTTCAGAGGTGATTTGATTATTTTTTGAATATCACAGACGTATAACTTCTAGAAATACCAGTCTTCTGGGGAAAGAGAGCCAGTGTATATTGTTTTGGCATAATTATTAATTCCAACCATTTCCTTCTCAAAAGTATCTGAGTTTGAGTGATAAATTTATGGCCACTCCAGCTACATGAGCAATGATAACCATTGGAAGGCACATGTCTGTTCAATACTGGAACCTGTCTTTTTTTTTTTTTCTTGTTGATGAAATTTATTTTGAAGTAAATATTATGCTTTTCAGGAAGTGCTTTTAATTATGTCTGTCATCTCTGGAGTCTTTAAAACTTTAGTACAAGATACAGACCTGTAAGATTAAGGATCATGTTATTTGTGAACTGTTATGCATCTATTAACATTAATTTCTGTTATCAGAATGAAGGTTTCCTATCGAGGACATTTTCTGCATAACATTTACCCCTGTGCCTTTATAGATTCACCAGAATTTAGATCAACTCAGATGCACAAAGGTGAAAAATTCCAGGTATGTTTTGGCGTGATTTTTAAGAAGATTGGAGCTAGTTCATGTCTCATTCAAAATCCAAAGAATATTAATAGAAAAGTGATTTATTGACCAAAAGAGATTACTATAGGTATATATAGCATGATCCCACTTTTGTAGAACTTAAACAATAGTGCCTATACGTGCATAAAAATAGGTCTAGGAAGATATTTCCTACTTTGGGCATAGTGTTAACACTATTATTTCTGGGTTTTGAGTTTGACTACTTTTTTATTTTCTTCATTTTTGTTTATTTGACTTTTTATAATTTTTTCATAGAGGACATCTAATGCTTTGATTATGAGAATAAAGGAAAATATCAGTTGTGGATAATCAGTGTTTCTAAAACATGTAATTGGTTACTTTTATTGGGAAAAAAGAGAAACTGGCTTTGCCCTAGAGATCTTCTGTTAATCTTTATGAAATAACCTAATCACTTTACAATTTTATGTTTAATGAATATTTTAAGGACAAAATATAAAGTTCTTCATAGTTAAAAATTGTTCCATTATGGGCACTTTGTTTTGATTCTTTCTGTAAGTGTCCAGCCCTATTTTATCCCCCTCTTGATTAATAGGAAAGTAACCAGGAAAATGGGTGAGAATATCCTTTGATCTTAGCCTCTAGATAAATAGCAGAATAGGGATGCTTATGAGCAAGAGGGTAATTCTATGTAGGTAGAAAATGGTATAGAAGGAATGTTATCATCTGAGGGATGAAATGTCAGTGTTTCTTGGTGACCGGTATTACTTTTGAGTTTCATTTTGAGACTCTGTACAGTTTGGGAGGCCACATGGAGATAAAAGGGAAAATTTACAAACATACAGTTTAGTTTAGTTTATATATAGTGGTTTCAGCCTTGCCCCGCTCCCATTCTGCCTGAGTTAAAAAGGTCTGCGTAACCACAAAACTTGGTACAGTTATGTGTATTTACTACAAGGTCTCATATAAGTTCATTAACTGGATGTAGTACTGTTCCCAAACAGGCTGAGCTTAAGATACAGAAGTAGAAGGCTAATGCTCTATTGTGACTTCCTGAATTTACACTCTAACCTTTTGTTTGTGAGGGTCAGCTATGCATCGAGACTTAATGTTCTTACTATATCCTTAATCACCACCATTTACAAATGAGTACAGGACCACTTATTTCTTCTCTCCTTCTTTCCTCTGCCCTTACATTTCTTCGTCCAAAGCCCATTTATCTGTGGATAGTATACACATTTATCTGTTGCATCCATTTCTCTATGTATAGTAGCAAGTGGTATTACACAATGACCCAGTGTCATTATACCCTGAAGAGACTGGGATTTGGCAAGGGGGTAGAAACTGAAACACTTTTGTTTCCAGAAGCAAATGCTCCCTGAGAATCCAGGGATATGAGCGTGTATTGTCTTTTCCACCGGACTTCAAATTATATTTTAATTAAGTTAACAAAAAGGAATTCCTACCACTAGCTACAGTTTCTTCTTGGGGACCAGGGATTGGGATTTGCTAGCTGAGAAGTGTTCATGATAATTTCTGTGAAGTTCCAAAATACGAGCAAACTCAAGGTATCCATAGCTGGTAAAGGATATTTATTCAGCCTTTCCAACACCAGCCATCTCTTGTCTGCGTAGAATGTACTGAGGCATTTTCTGATTGGTCAATGGAAAGAAACTACTCTAGCATCATGGAACTTGTGCTCTGTACAGTTGGAGCAGACTCCGTCAGAAGAAGCCCTCAGGAGAAATTGTGTTTTGATTGTTTACAAAATGTTCCCTTTGGCAGATACTCAAGAGTAAAAATAGCTGTTGCACATCTGTGTAGGAGTATATAGTGCCTCTTTGTGAAGCATGTTCCCAGAGAAACTTTGCTGCAACCTCTCACTACCCATGCTCGTAACAGAAGACATTTGAGAGAGTCAGTGGTCAGACTTCTCCACCCACATGCTTTTTTTCCTGCTAATCTCATTTTTCTTTAATTCTGAACAATTAAAAATATTCTGACAAAGGAGCTACTTCCTTTGAATTTGTATTTCTTTAAATGCATCTTTGGTAGGGGGTACTCCCAAAGTACGTTTCACTAAAGTGAAAGGAGAAAAGAAAGGCAAATGAACTCAATGTCTGTCTCTTGAGATTGCACAGCAAATGTTGGTTGGGTACATGTGTGAAGCTTGTGACAGGCACAGTGACAGGGATGAGAAACAGATTCTGAACTCACAGGTACTCGAGAGGTGCTTACAGCCATTTTGTACTTACGCACAAAAGTTGCTACTTAGAACTGTTGATAGAATCTTGGGTATTTTTATTATAAGAGGGAGAGGTAGTCTTTTGTGTTTGGTTTCTTTTTCTTCATGCAATTGCTTTATATCAAGTGCACTTTACCATTTTCACATATATCTTTTGTATTCTGTCTCCTGCTATTGCTTTGCCGTAGTCAGTTGCATGTCCTGTGCTGGGAAGCCTGAAAATCAAAGCTTTATTGACTTGAAGGGAAGAAGAATGTCTTGGAAGTCCAGGCTCTTGTGAGATAAATGAACACTAAACTTTCACCTGTATTTAAATCAAATCTTATAGTATTAAGTAAATCTTTTGGTTAAGTGGTGAAGCAATTTAATCTGCCAGCTTTGACTCTACTGTATTTTGGTGCTCATGAGAACTCTAAGCCTTGGCTGAACACACCAGTCCTAGGACATTTTCATGTTCCTGATGTGTGAAATGTGATGCAGTACATGAAGAAAATAACACATTCTCTCCTGAAGACACTCATCAGTCATATTGTTGGACCGCTGTTTCCAATTCTGGCACATTCAGCTATTCCCCTAGACACCCTTGTTCTTGTGCAATGTCTTCTCATTCTGTGAGGGTGTAGAGTCTAAAGTGAGGGGCAGGCCTAGTGCCTTGAAGTAATCAGGGCAAACCCGACTGAAAAGCCTTAGTCCAGTTCTCTCCCTGAAAGAAATCCCTTTGTATCTTCCATTGCCATGTTTGCTTTTATTTCTTCACAAGAACTGAAGCAGGGCACTGCCGAGGTGCCCTAATGACTAAAGAAGCAAATTTATTTTATGGAAGCTTTAAAAAAATCTTACATTGCTTTGTAGAAATTCCTCATTAAAATATGTTTTACTTGGCTCTTGTGACAGGAAATCGTTAAACACAAATGTCTTTTGGCAGAAATGAAGCATCAGCCATCACATAAAATGACCTCAGTCAATATGCTAACTACCCGCTTCCAATTAAATGCCTGCGCTCATGGACTTGTGAGTTACTCATACATACTCTAGGTATAGCTTATTATTAGAATGCTGTTACTAAATCTAAATGTAATAACAATTTAAACAAGTTCACAGTATTTTTCAACCACCAATAAGAAATGTATTTGCTAAACAAATGATTGTATCAGAAGTGTCATTGCCTCCATGGAAACTTGAGGTTATTGGAATGGTTGAAAAGAAGTTAAATGCATTAAACATCACCTAGGTACAATTCATTTTTCTTCTCTTGGATTACTTCCAACTCCTCTTTTAACTTCTTTCCCCGTTGCACATGAATTATGTTTTCCAAAGTCACAGATAACCTCTTTGCCAAATGAAGCAACAGTGCTCGGTTGCAGGGCTGTGCTACAGTGAGTACCAGTGCTCACCCTTCTCTAATTATTCCTGTGGAATAGTATTTAGTCACCTTGCATTTATTTGCCCATATTTTAGCGTTTCTGGGAACCCCTAGTACTGGCTTGACCTTATACTTCTCTTCTTAGAAATCTTTTTTTTTTTTTTTGTAACACATCTTTACTTATTACCAGCTTTCTCCATTAAGTGTAGGCTTCATGACATTGTGTTCAACTGTTGTTTGTATGAGGAACTTTTGATGGACTCTGAGCCAACCTTGTGGTCACTTAGCAAAATTACTTTCAATGTGATTGTGTTGGTGAATATTGGATACATTGGGTAGGATTTGGCTGGAAATGTCGGGGCTGGAAGTCAGAAGTACTCACCTCACCACTAGGTAACGTGTGCTCATGAATAACTTTTGGGTTCTTCTCATCTGGCATCTGAAAAATGAGGAAGAATATTACTTGCCGTATCTGAAAGGCAATTTTGAGGATCCACTTATAGATGTAAAAGCACCTAAAAATATTTAAAAGTACAATACGCTTTTAAAGTGAGTGGTATTACGTGTGACTGTCATTCCCTAGAGATTCTCTACTGCTTTCCCCTGTTGTGTATTTATCAAAACACTTGGTGCCACCTGAGGGCATCATATTTCTTTATTTATTATCTACTTCCTTCACTAGAATGTAAGCTTCCTAGGGCAAGGATCTTGTCTTTCTTGTTCACAGTGTAATGTCTATGCCTTTAACAGTGTCTAGCATAAAGTAGGTACGTAATGTACATTGAAAGAATGAGTAGAACTTTGTGTCTTATCGAGTCATAGAGTTGGTAATGAATTTCTTAAATCCAAATGTGTTTGGTTTTTGGAGATTCCTACTCTCAATACAATAAATAAATGCAAGCTTTTTTTCTAGGAATATTGACCCATTTTTTAAAGCAGTTAAACCCTCTACTTTGCTACAGGTCAAATTTCAGCCATTAACATTAGTTTAGAACCTGGGTTTTCCATTTTGTCTCTTAGTAGACAAAGTACTGCCTCGTAATCAAAATATGTTTAATTTTGTGACAAACCAAGGGGAAATTGGAAATATTTGCTCTGACAGTCAGATATGATTTCATGTCAATTCAAAAACCCTTCATTAATTGACCAGGACAGGCATTGGGTTTAATGTTGAGGATATAAAAATAGTTGTTGCCTTCAACAGTATTTGTGTTCATTTATTAATTCCTTCATATAATAAATACACACTGAGCACCACTCTGTTGGAAGCTGGGCAAGCAGACATAAGATGCATAATCCCTGCCATCAGATTGGAGGTGCCTGGTGGAGACAGATGTGTCCACAAATGAGTGTGGGTTCAGTGATATGAGTGCCATATGAAGCTCAGAGGAGGAATACTAACTGATGGAAGGGGACCGCCATGTGGGAAAAGGCTCCTGACACTGAGTTGTGAGGCTTAACCTCTCACCCTGGAGAAAGGATTTATTTGAAGAACTTGAGCTCTATGCAGTTCAGTTACAGTGTTTCCACACTTTCCTGTGGAACAATGCTCAAGGAAAAGATATAGTTTCCCAATACCCTGGACCTAGCCCTGAAAGGTCACACTCAAGAATTATCTATGACAGAAGGATGCAGAGAAGGACCCTCACTAGCCATATTCCTCAGCAACAGCCCAGACCTAAAACCAATTCATAGGAGTCTGTTTTCTTATTCACTAGTATTCATTTGCAGAGTTGGCTGGGCAGGAGATCTTTCATCTATAAATTGCCTCATGAATCTTATTAGCTCAGTTCTCTTGCTTGAAGCCGTATTCTTAAACCTCTGTTGTAATCATCAGTGTGTAAAGAAATATTTAACCATAAATTATATGTCTAATTGGAACATTGGTCTAGTACACTCTATAGCAGTGTTTTTGACACCAGACCTCATAGAACAGCACAGCAACGAAACTTGGAGAATTTGCTTTTAGTCTGCAGATTTCTTGGTTTTAAACATTATTTTATTTTAATTTAACTAATATGATAAATCATTCCTATAATAATATCCACTAACTTATTCTACTCTTCCTTTCCCCCAAATTATTATAGTCCTAATTCATATATACAGATGTACTTTTTTCTTTCTGTGTTTGTTTCTTGGGCAGGTCACCATCATTGCAGATGATAACTGCAGATTTTTATGCTGGTCAAGAGAAAGATTAACTTACTTTCTGGAATCAGAACCGTTTCTATATGAAATATTTAGGTATCTCATAGGAAAAGACATTACCAATAAGCTCTACTCGTTGAATGATCCCACCTTAAATGATAAAGTAAGTGTTTTTCTGAGGCATACCTCACTGTATGCAATATATATTTTTCTGAATTTTAATTAATTAATCATAAGTGAAGTGGCAATGCTTGCAATTTAGAGACCTTCAGGGGAATCATTTCTCAAGAGCATGGAAATATTTTGTAATTATTATATTTGCCATTACCTGGTGAGTTGTCTTCAGATGTCAGGGACCTCCATTTGTGGTGATGTGGTGCTGATCTCTCATCAAGAGTCAGTCAGTCTAAGGAAGATGGTAAGTGAGTTGGAGCGATGGATGGGAGGTAGAGTAGGCCAGGGAAGACGGGGCAGCAGGAAGGTTTCAGACTGAGAAACACTGACAAACTCAGATGAACAGGAAGTTTGCATTTTAACCCTGGTGTCTTACATGTCCTCCTGGCCGAGCCCCCTTCCAGAAAGCCGATAACTGACAAGAGCGGGAGGGGAGGGAGCCTGTGGCAATCCAGTTAAGAACTTCAGAGCTGTATGGATCTTCAACAATTTGCAATTTGATCTTCATTTCCCCACAATTGCGTAGAAGGAAATTAAAATGATGACAGAAGAGAAATCGCAGAACATCAATTCTGTGATAAGTAGCAATCTCCAGGGACTATGCATATGGGTATGTGTTCTCTAACATCTTCTAGTCTAGGCCCTTTGTCAAATTAGGTTGGTGCTTGTCATTTTTCATTTTAATAAATAAGCTATTGAGTATGTTAAATTTTTGTAATGTATGTATAGTAATAGCTTATGATAAAGGTTATACCTAACATTTTTTGGCCACTTACTATGTACCAGGTAGTTTTCATTTCAAGGAAAATAAATGCTGTTTACAGGGAATGTCTGACCTTAGTCCCAGAGGTCTCTGAAATCTTAAACCTTTGTTTTGTAGAAGGCCAAAAAGTTGGAACACCAGCTCAGCCTGTGCACACAGATCTCCATGCTGGAAATGAGGAACAGTATAGCCAGCTCCAGTGACAGTGAAGATGGCTTACACCAGTTTCTTCGGGGCACCTCCAGCATGTCCTCTCTCCGTAAGTTTTTCCACACTGATAATACTCCAGGACTCTGCTAGATGTCATTGGAAATAGACAAAAGACAACTTTGATCAGAAAAGTAACTTTGCAAGTAAAGATTTGGCAATCTGTCAATAAAAATAATAATTTTTTTCTTCTTTTTATGTTTATTTTTGAGAGAGAGAGAGCACGCACAGGTGGGGGTGGTGCCGAGAGAGGGGGAGACACAGCAGAATCCAAATCAGGCTCCAGGCTCGGTGCTGACACAGGGCTCTAATGAACTCCATGAACTGTGAGATCACGACCTGAGCCAAAATCAGATGCTTAACTGACTGAGCCACCCAGGCACTCCAATAATAATTTTTTCTTGCTTTTCCTTTTCCATATTGCACATCCGTTATATCCAACTTTAGAACTCTTATTCCTATTTCAGAAACTGTTCCCTTGTTTTGCCATGCACTTTCTTAAATACGGGTTCACTGGGATAATGTGAAAGAGTCCATATGGTTTGCTGGATATTCAGCATTATTGTTTTCATGATTTTCATGTAAGTGAAAGCCTAGACCCAGCAGTGTGTTAAAGATGATAGGAAGTAACTGTTGGATGTTTTACTGCTGACTGGGTGTCAGTATGAGCGCCAAGAGTTAACAGGTGTTCGGTAATGGAATATTCCTGAGGATGAAGGAAACCACTCATTACCCCTGTGAGTTACCTCTTTCACACACACACCCACCAAGAGGCGAGTTTTCCAAGATTGGAAACATTAAATCTTTTCCAAGATTTAAAACATTTTAAGTAAGTAACATTTCAAAACAGAGATGTTGAAGATTAGTAAGTAAAACGGGAGAAACTGAATTATTTTAAGAATTAAGTGCTTAAAATTAATGTTTAAAATTATTGTAAGAATTATCCCAAGATGGGTAGTATAAGTAGAACTTTGAACAAATTCATTTGTATTTTTAAAGTTTTTTAAAATGTTTTATTTATTTTTGAGAGAGTGCAAGCAGGGGAGGGGCAGAGAGAGGGGTTAGGGGATCTGAAGCAGGCTCTTCACTGAAGGCAGTGAGCTTGATGTGGGGCTTGAACCCACAAAAATGACCTGAGCTGAAGTCAGACACTCAACTGACTGAGCCGCCCATATGTCCCTAAGTTTACTTTTTATTTTTATTTTGAGAGAGAGTGCATATGTAAGCAGTGGAGGGGCAGAAAGTGAGGGAGAGAGAATCCCAAGCCAGCCCTGGGCACTCAGTGCAGAGCCTTATACAGGGACAGAATTCACAAACCATGAGATCGTGACCTGAGTCTAAGAGTTGGATGCTTAACCGACTGAGCCACCCAGGTGCCCTGTGAACAAATTCATTTGAAGTAGCAACAAGTCAGACAGATTCTACCACTGCATAAACTAAAAACTATTAATGTTTCCAATTGTGTGTTAATCCAAAATAACTTTGAAGGAAATACAGGTACACATTGTACAATCCCTAAGTGTTTATGTAAATTATCCTGTAACTTTGGATGCTTCAGATAAATTGGATTAAGGATTGCATAGTTGGGAGAAGCTGGAATTGACAAAGCCATGTAGGTGTAAGCTTCCAAAGCAAAGTCTAGGCATAGAAATGTGTTGTGGACCAAAAGGAGATTTTGGGAGTAACACAAGTGGGAAACAGGAGATGGTTGTGTCTTATTCTAATGTAACTTTTGCAAGTACTGACTGGGGCTGACCAAACTGCAATCTGCCAGCATATCAAATGCCTTATCTGCCAAACTGTTAAAACAGTTTGAAGGTCAATAAGCATTCTCAAATGGACCTATCTTAATTACATGTACAGTGATTACTATACAATGAAAGGTCTGCAGGAAGAGAATTAAATAATAATTAATAAATTTTTATTTTTCTATGGTATTTCATTGTATAATCTAAATCTTTGGGGAGTAAAATAACATTTTAGAAAAAAATGTTTAGAGTATGTTGTTTAAATAGAATTAAAACATGTGTTTGAGATTAACATTTGTACTGTTTGTGCCACCAGAAATCTACATTTCCAGGTGGATTGGTCACCCATGTTGTACATACAGACTTGGATTCAAATCTTGCTCTAATAATTAATAGTTGTGGAACTTGGAATCTCCAAGTCACATGACCTTTCTTTTTTTTTCTTTATATTTTTTTATTTATTTCTAGGAGAGAGAGAGACAGAGTGAGCAGGGGAGGGTCAGAGAGAGAGGGAGACACAGACTCTGAAATAGGCTTCAGGCTCTGAGCTGGCAGTCAGCACAGAGCCCGATGCGGGGCTCGAACCCACGAACCGCGAGATCATGACCTAAGCGAAAGTCGGACGCTTAACTGACTAAGCCACCCAGGCGCCCCATCACATGACCTCTCTAACCTGACGTGAGTTGTGATATCTCATCACAGGCTTGGTTCTGGCCACAACTTCTAGTCTCTTTCCTTCCCTCTTCGTTCTAGTGAGTCGTGAGTTTAATCCAAACAACCATTCTCTGCATGGATAATTGGTACTTCTGTGTTTGTACATAAATGTGCTCCCCTTGAGTGCGGGGTTGCATTTTACTTCTCAGGTCCCTTGTCTAGTTGTTTTTCGCTGTGTTAGAAATATGTACAACCTGGGGCGCCTGGGCAGCTCAGTTGATTAAGCGTCTGACTCTTGATTTTGGCTTAGGTCATGATCTCGTGGTTCCTGGGATTGAGCCCCGTGCCAGCTCTGTGCTGACAGCACAGAGCCTGCTTGAGAGTCTCTCTCTCACTCTCTCTCTGCCCCTCTCCTGCTTGTAAGCACACTCTCTCTCTCAAAATAAATAAATACACATTAAAAATAGAAATATGTACAACCTGCTTAAGTTGCTTATTTAATTATTTTAGCCTCAGATTTATTATGCAAAATCTTACATATCGATACAAATGTATATGGCTACACATGAGAGCTTATTTTTGAATGTGGGTGTATGTGAATTGCACAACAAAGCCATGCTCATATGTAATTTCCTTTGACCAACCCTCCTTCTAAGTTTCCTGGCTTCGCTTCCTGCAGTTTCATGAAAGACATTAGTACTTGACCACATCATGGATACTATGAATTATTTAATTCATCCTAGCCTGAAATTCATCAGAAACTTGTTTCTCTTTCTTAGATTTTAGCTCAGAATTCCTGGAGTCTGGGTGTTTTGGTTTGGTTTGGTTTGGTTTTAGGCTTCTTTTTGCCAGACCCATCCATATGCCATCTACTCTTCCATAGTACAGATTATATTTTATGTAAAACAGAGAATATAGAACCAATCTCATAAGATTGTTGGGCTGGAATAACAAAATTTCCACTTTTTGACTATGTGGTAGGTCTTCATAACTGTGAGGCCCATAAAGCAAGTGACCGCCCTCTTACCATCCTGGGTTTCTGCCATGCACATGGGAGCATTTATGTCAGCCTTACTCATCAGTGCTGGCGGCTTCATGAATGCTGAGGAGAGAAGGGAGCAAACATTTATGGACAAGAGTAGCTATTGTTTTTTCAGGTACTGTCTGTACATAATCACATGTAGTCTTCATTGTAATCCTGCATAGAGATGCATTCTAGCTTTTGCTAGAAGATACAGCACTACTTCCCAAATCCCTGGCTATGATGAAGGGGCTGCTCTCTCGCTCATGTGTACACGGGGTGCTGCTCCAGGTCTGTGTCCTCTTCACTCTGGGATGCCACAGAGCAGCTGCTGTTTGGGTCATTGTCACTTAGTGCAGAGGGTTTGTTTTGTCTTGTTTTGATTGTTGTATAGAACGTTGATTCTGAAATGTAAATGTGAATCACTTGGAGATTTTATTACAGGTTCTAATGCAGCAGACTGGGACGGGGTCTGGCGTTCCCATGTTTAATAGGAGCCCCAGCGATGCTGATGTGGCTGGTCCCTGAACTACACTTTGAGTAGTGAGAAGTAGGACTCACTCCCTACAGCCTGTAATTTTGCTGATCGCCTCCCCGTGGCGGTGATTAAGATGTTTCTTGTATTTCCCATCTACTGGTAGGTGGATCTACAGGCCGGCATAGATTCCTGTGAAGGCACGAAACAAAATTGCTGCTGATCCTATTTCTTACGTTGTGCTCCATTTTTACACATGTCACATGATGCTAAGTCCAGAGCAAGATCTCTACTCTTTGCCACACAGATTCTGCCTTCTACTTCAAATGATCCTTTAAAGACAAGAAAGTGAAGTAATGAGATAGTCTGACAAAAAATTGCTTCCTACCTGTTTGTAGCCTGTAATCCAATTAATTTAACTCATTTTCACTTTCCTGTTGCTTCATTACTTGTCTCATGTTTGGAAGTGTGATTATGGAACAGAAGGACAGGAAGGAAGGAGACGTCCAAGACGTGTGGGAAGGATTTCATGCCCTCATGTGTATATGTGCTGCCGAAGCGAGCACTCATGCCCTCATGTGGACAGAAGCTCTCTTCTCTCCGCTCCTGGATCAAGTGCTCATCAGCATACCTCGCCATCTTCTCTTCCTTTTGAGGTTTAGCTCCCTATGTGGTGTAGAAAACACACGACACACAGATTGGTTGTACTGGACAGGTCCGTTGCTGATGAGCGGCACCGAGTACAGCATCGTCATGGCAACTGGAGAGCATATTATGCTTCCTTAAAAGTTGTAGAACTTTATTTTCATTGCTTGGGGTTAAATAACCTATTGTTTCATTTGTGTGTTTGTTTCTTAAATTCTGAGGCAGTATAGGCAATGCAGTCTGTTGGAACTCATCTTTGAAAGGGTTTGTTAGTTTAAACCATGTATTTTTTTGTAAGTTATAATTTAGTAATAATATATAATTGTATAAATTTATGAGTTTTAAAGATACTACAACATATTTAGAGAGATACTTCTTACTGAGAAAAAAGTCTCTTGAGATTTTTTTGTTATTAATATCAACATAGTGTTCTGGACAACCTACTAATTTCATAAGACCTACTTGCACAAATATGCTTTAAGTTCGCTTGCATCTGGTTAGTATTCTTA